TACTCGTTCATCAAAAACGAAACGTGGCTATCAATCAGGCCAAGTTCTCTAGAGGGGTTTTCTTTTGCTAGAAACAAGTTTTCAGTTACATAAAAGGGGATGACTTCTTGACAAGTCCAATATACTCTTTGTCAATTTGCTAGCAGAGTATTAAAATGTCACTAGCTCTTCAATAATACACGAATTACTCTTAATAATACTCAATGTTGATTGATTATGCGTTCATAATGCATTTCTGTTGACCACTTGAATGAAAATCATTTGCAATTGTCTCCCATTGTAAAATTTCAATTGCAATTCAAAAACCTTAATACATTTGATAAGCACTTTTAATGCGATTTCCAGATTCATTTTTGCAATTTCAGTTAACTTTCTTATGCGTTTCTCTGTTAAGTAAGTTCCTACAAATTCTGATTGTAAATTTCTGCCAAAAGTATTTACCACAATTATTTACAATGCAACCCGACAAGCATGCACATATATATGTTTGTTGTGTATGTGTGGGTGTGTGCAGACATACATACGCAAATAAACATGAAAAATTTGAAATATTTGAGAATCGAATTACATTTGTTATAGAGAAAATTCAATAAGAATTTCCGATTAAGTTTTTGTTACATTTTGTTCAATTGCTTGTTTTTGACAGGTGGGAGCTGAGTAAGGTTGAAGTGATTTACTGGAAAATACCCTGTAATTTGACAATGTTTGTGTATATAGGGTTGAGCATGGCTCAGTGGAAAATATGCCTTAACTCTGAATTATTTAAGCATAGAAAACATTCTTGGAGCTAATAGATCGTAAGTCATAAGACATATTATTATTATATTATTAGACATTCGGTTAGCTTAAAAAATCCTAGATCTAAGAAGAAAGCAGTTTAAAGATTCATAAAAATTATAATCAATCCATGCTAGTTAATAACTTCACAATTACTTTTCGTTTCTAACACAGACTTACAGAGTAATCAATGATAAAAATGAAAAGCAGACATTTAAATTACTTTTGCTGGACTAATGAATTTTCAAGAATTTGCCGAGTTATTTAAGCTTTTCATGTTTGACAGCCAAACTAATAAAGTTAGCGATATGAAATGCTTGGACTAAACACTTTAACCACACCCACACACACATATTCATGCACATGTGAATATGTATAGGAAACATCTGGCGGTTGCTGCTGGAATCAACAATTTTAATAATTTCGTTTTATGAAAATTGCGCTCGGGTTAAATGATTCGAGAAGAATGCGAGGAAGCAAAACTCGTAGCATTTTACACTGACGAGCAAAACTGTAACACATGTTCAATGTTCTCACTTCAACGGTCTGTATTATCTTTTATACTTTATGCATGATTATGATCATAGTCTTGTTTTGTTAGTGAAATATTTGGCTCTTTTATTTATAAATTTGAAGACATTTGATTAGCGATAAGAGAAATACAATAGCAAAGAGTAAAAAAAGTCAAATGTTACAGTTTTGCACTCGCAGAGCAAAACCTATTTACTTTTGTTTCAAAGCTTTTTTTACCATTAAAACTTATTTGTTTTTGTTTAAATCGATAAACCTTGATCATTTTAAGTCAATTTGCAAAATAATTATGATGGCTGATGAAAAGAAAAAGGAAATAATCGAATTATTGATAGGGGCGAATCCGTTAGGAAAGTGGCTAATAAATTTGGTGTTAGCCACATGACTGTGCAGTGTTAAAAACAAAAACAGTTCAGAAAACATTAAAATCAATAAAGGAGGCCGACCGCGACTTTTAAGCCAACGTGACACGCGCCACTTGGCTAACTTAGTTACAGGCAATCGCGACTTTACGCCAATAACAGCTGCTAATGTGTTAAATTTAAATGCCAGTGAGTGGACAGTCCGTCGCAGTCTCGGCAGATTGGGGCTTAAGGCCAATGAAAGAAAAAAAAAACCATTTCTAGCTAAAAGGCACATTAGTTTGCGTAGAAACTTTGCTATAATGCATGAAAATTGGGATCTAGCTTATTGGCATGCCATAAGTTACAAATAAAAAGCTTAAACAATGCTACAAAAATTTTTTTCAAGTTTATTTGGTCAGACGAAACTAAAATTAATCGTTTTGAGTCAGACAGACGACGTGGTATTGGACTAGGAATCCCACAGTCCAATCGGCAAATACAGTGCGGTGCACGGTGGCGGGTCCATAATGGTTTGGGGCTGTATTTGTACAAATGGAGTTGGGCCCTTAGTGTTAATTGATGGTATAATGCGTAAGGAGCAATACCTAAAAATTTTTCAAGAAAATTTGGGAGGAGTCATTGGCAACATGGGTCTGGCTGTTGAAAATTGCATTTTTCAGCAAGACAATGACCCAAAGCACACATCCCATTTGGCGAAAAATTGGTTATTGAACCAAAAGTCTCAAACTATGAAGTGGCCACCGCAATCTCCAGACATGAATCCCATAGAAAATGTATGGAGCCATCTGAAATCGCAGCTTGCGAAATATGCGGCCCCTCCAAATGGCAGGATGGAGTTATGAGAGAGAACGAAGGACGTTTGGTACTCGATTCCACCTGAAATGGTGCGACGCTACACGCAAAGTATGCCAAACCGTATAAACAACCTCAAAAAATCAAAAGGGCTGTGGACCCGTTATTAAAAAAAATTTAATAAAAATATTTGTTTAAAAATATTTGCAGTGCAAAACTGTAACATTTGACTTTTTTTACTCTTTGCTATTGTATTTCTCTTATTGCTAATCAAATGTCTTCAAATTTATAGATAAAAGAGCCAAATATTTCCCTAACAAAACAAGACTATGATCATTATCATGCATAAAGTAGAAAAGATAATACAGACCGTTGAAGTGAGAACATTGAACGTGTGTTACAGTTTTGCTCGCCAGTGTATGTCTTTTTTTTGTCCGTTGTTGAGCGTAACCAACGGAGCTCAGCCTCCAGCTACCCCATTGTTCCTATGTATGAGTGCGTGTGTGTGTCTCATATCTCTGTTCAGTTTTAAGGATTGGCTGCTCTTGAAATGTTTTTGGGATTCAGCTGGCTTTTCAATCAGTATGAAAGCTTCGAATGCCTTTTGATTCCTAATCAGGAAAATCTCTTTTAAATGCGTCCACTAATTGCAAAACTGTGGAGGATAATCATAGAGGAGTGAACTCTATAAGCCCCATCTAACGCACTTCAGCTACATTCACAAACTAATCAAGAGGCGCGCTTTGTTTTAGACATGCGAACTTATAGATCGGGACGAGGGGCTTGGCGATGCGAAAACATTTCTTCGACTAAGAAGCAATTATCGCAGATAGGAAAAGAGTTTTTCCGCTTGTTTTGCGGCAAGTTTTTTGGGATAACTTTTGCTCCTACCCCGGCCAAGGTTCTGTTTGTGAAGCACGTTTATCAGTGGCCAAGTTTTTACTACTGGCTTTGGCCCTCGTCTGTTCATTGTTAACTTTTCTGCCTTACTAATGGCTATCAGAGATAAGTTCGACTACAAGCCAAAGTTTTATTTTGTAAGCAACGTTGTTAATCTGTCGAGTATGTGTGTGGGCGTCTGGGCGTGCCACGGGCAGCGGCTGTGGGCGACGAGTGCTTTTAAAAAGTTATCAACAAGCGTTCAGTCAGAGATACGAGTCTCCTGTTAAGACATATACTCCTAACACATGTTACTCACACACTCAGGCACACACACACTCACATTTACATAGTGCTAATCAAGTGCAGTTGTATGTAGTTAGTCGACTTGATTTGCAACTTGTAGCATGCCACCTGCGTGCTTCTTGACTTATTGTACGTTTCCCTAATCAGCAAAATGTGCTAGATTAACGAATTTGCACACTTTGCTGTTAGAGATTAAAGAGGAAAGCATTTAATGAAGAATTACCCCTAATACTATCTGTAGGTATTGCCTACTAAGTCTGCGATTAATTACTGCTTGTTACTCTACTACTATTACTTTTTACTACTTGTTACCCTACTAATATTACAATACTATTTGATTTCATTATTAGTTACCATTTGTTGTACTCTTAATTTTACTTTTAGTCTTACAACTAGTTAGTCTACTTCTTATTTCCATTACTACTATAGTGATATTTCCTATTTCTACTGGAGAGAATTATTATCTACTACTTCTTTTATCTACTACTACTATTGTTTACTACTCCTATTATCTACTACTACTGTCTGTTACTTCTGCTACTACTGTTATTCATTTCTATTATCTACTACTAATACTACTATTTACTACAACTTATTTTGTATTTAGTGACCAATGTACAAAGTTCAAGCATTGAAATTGTATGCCAATTTTAAAAGTATTATTCACTGTAATTAAGCAAGAGCCGCCAATCTTTAAAGTATTTAAAAATAATTTAAATCAATTCAATTTTTCAATCATTTTTAAGTTGATTCGCATTTACAATAGCTTTAAAATAAAATTTTAATCAGCAGCTGAAAATTGAAATTGTCTGACAGAGCCCGGAAATATGCATTTATACATACATATATACATAATAAATACATATGTGTGAATTTACACATATGTGTGTGTGTGTGTGAGGATGTGTGTGTTGTTATAAGTTGGCTTCTAGCTGGGCTGTTGGGCAGGTGAATAGACAGCTGGATTGTGTATGATGAGATTATTTGAATTACCTTTGCAATCAAATTGACACCACATAGACGTACCGTAACGGACTGTGGACTGACAGGGACAGACAGGTGGACAGTTGGACAGCTGGACAGGTAGAGAGTTGGACAAGAAGGAAACAGACGGCGCAAAGTAAATGCGACGCATGCAATTGGAGAGCAGCGGAAAGACAGAACGAGACAAAGTAGATGGAAGTCAAGTTTGATGGCCAGTCAAGACTTTATACATTATCTATATAGAGGCATATGCAGAGTGTCCGGCTAAATAATTCAAATGAAATTTCACTAATGCCCCAACACACAAATTTCATGAGCTCTCGCCTCTAAGTAGGCTGTTAATGAGCAGCACATGGGACTCGAAGCAACGACTGGAGACATTCACAAACGTTTTAGAATCTGAGCAACAGCAAATACATTTCGAGTAAAATGTCGGAACTGAAATTTGAGGCGAATTGCAGTGAGTTTGCGTTGGAGACAACTGAGAAGCTATTTGAGCAACTGAACTTGCAGACGCAGGTCGAGGCTTCCCTGCCGTTTGAGGACGATGAGAAAACGCTGAAGCAACAGCTGCTTGAACAGGACCTGGAGCAGCTGCAACGACGCCAGAGCATCGTCTACGAAAACGCTCAGAAACAGGTGGCTGTGCTCGAGAATCTGCTGAAGACCGTTGAGCCTGGCTGGCAAAAGGCAGTGGAGAAGACAGCGGCTGTTGAGGACTGCTCGCCACCGCAGGCCTATCACTTCAAGGACATCTACGAGCGCAAGAAACAGCAGTTGTTGACACAGCACCTCGAGCAGGAGCGTGCTCTGCGCCAGTTCCGCAGCCGTCCAATGCCCAACTTTAGCCAGGCCCATCGTCAGTTGGCCAACAGGCAAGTCGTGCATCGCATCACCTCTGCTATCACGCCGAATGTGCTGAAAACGTCGCGGCAAATGCTGCTCAAGCGGAAGCAGAAAATTGAGCAGCTGCTGCAGCAGCGCGATCAGGAGCAGAAACAAAATATGTGCTTAAAGTCTAAGCCGGTGCCCAAATTTAAAGGGGCTCCACTCAAGCCAGCCAATATTCAAGTGCAGTTGGAGATCAAGCCGTTCCGTCTGTCCACGGAGCTGCGCGCCGAACAGCGCAAGATCTTCAATGCGCAGTCGCATCAGGCGCAGGAAACTAAGCGTCGGCAGCTGGAGGAGCAGCGCAAGCGTCGCGAGCAGGAAGAATTTCAAAAGCAGCGCCAATTAGCCACGTTCCGTGCTCGACCCAATCCCTTTAAGTTTCAATTTCGCGGAGGTGTCGAGCCTTAGCAGTCGTTTCTTGTTCTCCATAATTGATGTGCTTATTGCAAATCTTTAAATTGTTTTTGGTTTCGAGTTTCGTGTTCTTGTTCGTAAATATAATAAATTTATTGAAGTTCAGAATTAATAGTAGACTTTTGTTTAAGGAGAGTTCGTGGGTGAATTATTTAAATGGAACTGAAAGAGTTCATTATATTTAAGAGTTTAAGTATAAGTATAAATATATATAAGTATAGCATACTTCTTTTATTATTATTTTATATTATATATATTTTTTTTTTAAGTTTGATTATTAATCTTTAATTAAAACTAATGGACGTTGTCTCTCTAAGTAAGGCGACTTTTTAAATTCCATAAACTTGGCTTTTATTTTACTGAGAGCTTAAGAATTATATGAATCTATATTTCATATAAAAACAATAAGATCCTTATCAGACTAAATAACAGCTGTATCTAATATTCCCTTTACTTTAGTAACAATATATTCCTTAAGAATTAAAAGTATACTAAATATTAAATTAAAAAAGATTTAACTTTATTATTTATTAAAATGTTTACTTAAAGAATTTTCCTTTATATATCGCGCCCAACTTCAATTACTACTGCCAGCTAAAAACCTATTACACTTGAGGCATATTTAACGCTTTGAAGTAAGAGGGCAACAACCTTGTTTGACTTAGCAGCCTTTGCCTTCAGAATTGCCTTTGATAACTTATGCTAGACATAATTGAACACAAGTTACAAGCAGAGCACTAGAAGGGATAATTAAATCCCTCTTATATAGAAGCTGCTTATGTGTGTTTTTGCTTGAAGACGCTCTTAAATTTCAATAATCATTTGCACACATGTGCGCACATTCAATTTGTTCATTTAAAATGGCTCAGGTCGAGGCTCCATCAATCAAACGCTTGCCATCATTGCCCATACCTCCCATCTCCAAATGCCCGCCCACGTGTTTCAGTACAAACAATTTGTTGTAAGTGTATCAATTGATGCGCTTCGCATGTATGTATGCGTGCATGCATGTGTGAGTGTGCTAGCGTGTGTGTGGCCCGCATGTCTATACACTCGACAGTGTATGTGTGTGTGTGTACGTCACATAATCAAAAGCACAAATACTAAAACAAGCACTCAAACTGTCAAAGCAATGATTGATAGTGTTGACATTCGCTTTTTGGCTTCAGCTGGCAGCTCGTGAGTTTTTGTGCATTGAATTCTGTTAATGGGACGTTTGGCGATTCTATACAGCGTGCCACGCCACGCCTCCCGACCCCTCCCCCACATGCTTTTCACCTGCCTTTCAGTTGAATGATGAATTGCACTGCATCGAGGTTGAGTGAAATTTGTATTTATTGTAAATTTTGCTGACTAAGTTTAAAGGTGAGCTTCCATTTAATCGACATTAAAATTAATGCAAAAAAAAATATTTGTGCGTTTTTTAAATAATATTTTTTAGCTATTATTACAAGTGTTGAAATCTGCCATGTCACGATTTGTTTTTATCAAATGCTGCTTATTTTTTCATTATTTTATTTGCGTACAAACGAATAATTATGAAAAAGTTTCTTTTTTATTAAATTTAGTTTTGCAATTTAATCCGAGGCATACATATGTGGGAGGAGCGGTTTTTTATAATAGTTATAAGTGCATATATATTATATATTTTTTATATATATATTTTTTAAATGTTGCTAAATGAAATATATTAATAATTAGTATTCAATGCATATGCATATTAAAATATATTTTAACTACTTTAAATCTATAATATTTGCTGAAGTAGAAACAAAAAAGAAATGTTATTAAAACACTTTTTTTATTGAAGTTTGGCTGTAATCGGCTTATAAATATATATATTTTAATTTTATCTTAAATACTTATTTTAAATTATAGTTTGATTATTTATATTATTTTTATTTAACATACTAAATCTGGGCGAAGTGGCGTTGCCGCTGAGAAATTGCTGCTTTTCAAATGTTAAAACAACATTTTCAACCTCCCCGTTACCGGTTAACTCCAGAACTGTACTAACGGTTAAGAGTATAACAGTTCACTTTGGCGCTGTTGTCAATAGGTGGCGGAGCGTTTCGTTAACAGACTATGTTAAGTTAACAGTTGACAAGCAAAGAAACCCGAATGAAAGAGAAAATGTGAATAAATATTTTAAATATATATATAAATATATAAAAATTAAAAATTTTAAATAAATATAAATATAAACTTAAAAATGACTGAAAAAATTTAAGCCTGTATATCAAATATATATAGGAGACATCAGCGGTGCAGCCTTCCGCTGCAACAGGGAACAATGTGCCAAATTTGATCGGCTGGTGTAAGAGTGTATATGTATTTGAGTGTATAGCGGAGTGGTATGAATTTACGTTCAGTTTTTATGCGTGGGTGGCAGGTTAAATAAGACGCGTTTTGGCCCAGGCAAGGGGGCGCCAGGAATCAGGGGAGCCAGTTGGCTGGTTGGGATTCGAATGCGTTGGCGACTCGCCGACAATCTGCAGAGTTTCGCTGGCTTTTTGTTTGCGGCTTGGCACAGTGGAATTTAATAACGCGCTGATGCATGCAAAATAACGCATAAAAACATAAAAATGCACACGCAAAAAAAGGGGCAAACAAATTACACCACACACACACACACACATAAACACACGCACAACCACAACAAAACAAATGGAGGGAGACTATGAGAGGGAGAAAGGGAGGGAAGGCTTCTGCAATGTGAGAGCTTCAGTAGCTGCAGTAAAACAATTTTCGCAGTCAATTTTCCTTTATGAGCGGAAAATATTTCGCTGTGAAAATATGATGCGCATATTGGCAGCCATCAGTCGTAGCTGCAAGCGGCGCCTTCCTCTTAGCCCTCTTGTGTTTACAAGCCAAAAAAGAAAAATTGAGAGGATGAGGGAATATTGTGTGCTCCACTTTAATTGAAACGCCAAATACTGCATTAAATCAATCGCCAACAAAATAAAACAACAAATTTCAATCGGATAGTTAAAAGGAACAAAGTCCACATAAAAAAAGCGCTAAAAAGTTGCCGAATTGCGACATCAAAGCCGAGCAAGGTCGACGCAGACGAACGCATTTGGCTGCAGCAAGTCAAAGTCATTAAAAAGTAATGCCAAGTCGTCAGCCAGCCACGCCCCCTTACTACAATTGCCTCTCAACTCCTTCGCTAGCAGGCGCGCCATTAATGATGGATGGTTTACCCGAGCTCCGGGTCCTGCCAACTCGACTGTTGCGCCACCAAAAAAAAGAAAATAAAGGAAAAAATGATTTGATGAAAACATTTGAAATTTTTATCGGGTGCAAATTTATGCAGAACTGTTGATGTCATCGCCCAGCCCCCGCCCCTCCAGCTCCCCTTTTCCTGCACAGAAATGATGACGATGCGAGTGACGTTGAAATATGAAGCGACATTACCTACGAGAACGTTGAGGAGCAGCACTCGGAGTTGAGTTGGGCCGCAATTTCTACTAGGGGCTGCAATGATTGGCTTTTTTCCTGAAAGCCCCCGCTTTGGGCCAGAGGCAGCCAAGCGCGTCTGTTAACTGTGCTTGGCCTTAGCCGATAAGAAGTTGGCTTTTCCATTTGTTTTTTGTTTAGCGGAGTCTTAATTTTTATTACCATTAGAAGTGCACTTAAAATTTGTAATAAATGACTTGGCAATTGATTGGAAGCCGAGCATTTTATATGCTCCATAAAGCTTCGATACAGTTGAGCGCACAGCTATATAAATACTTGCACATAACTATGTCATATAAACGCTTAAAATTGCCCAATAATAAGTCAACTGACATTAAATAATCATTCACCGTCTTAAATGCCGCCAGGCATCATAAAAAACTTTATAGATTATTTGTATAAGTGAAAAGACATCAAGTTGTCGACTGATATATTCGATTTACATCTACGTCTTATGGTTCATTTCGCATTTTGTAGTTGAAAAATGTTGCAGAAATTGATGGGAACCCTTCAAGTTTCACAGATTTTTTAGCTAAAAAAGCATATATAATTAATTTAATGATCCAAATCTCATATATTTCTGACAGCTGGCTTGGCTTAGGAATCACGTGCAGTGCCTTAGCCAGTTAGGATCAAAACCAACCTAATTTTCGCCTTGTCCGAGATGCGAGTTCAAAATTTTGTCTTGCCCCAAAAGGTATGCTACAAAATTTATGAAAAGTAATCAAATTTTAAGATATTTTGTATATTGCCTTATGACTCTATAGATCTAAACAAGTTTAGATCTGAGACTTAGTACCTTACTCTTTTTCTTCTTCTAATCTATTGTATTTGGGTCAAGTGTAATCTTATCAGTTTTCGTCTGTAATTGTTTGCTGAATTTACCAATGATTTTCAAGAAAATTTTTATTGATTTTTTCCTTCTTCAACTTCAATCTTTTACTTTTAAGTAAGACCTTTACTTTTTTTCGGTTTTCCGATGAAAACCTTGTAGTAGTTCAGTTTATTGACCATTCACTTTAAAGACCTGGTTTTCTTTATTGCTGTGCGTGTATTTCATAAACTTTTGAGAAAATTGCGTGAAAGTTTTACGGATTAAACATGACAGTTGCAGAAGCTGGTTACTAGAGGTAGGATTGCATACCATATATACCATGTACCATGTACTCCAGCTAGGTACATGGTACAACTATGTGTGGCTATTATAAAAGTTTATATTTTTATATGCGTCTGGGCCCCGAGTGGATGTTACTCTGGCTGATGACTGTGGCTTCAAGTTTTTATTGCCGGGCGCTGTTTGACGTGAACCTGAACGTGGGCTACTCTCGGGATAGGTCTCTCCCGCTCTTTCTGAGAGTGTGTGTGTTGTGGTTGGGCTTGTGCATATGGTGGGCACGTGTGCTGCTCCCACAGGTGACGATGGCCTCGTTTATGAACAAACAGCAAAATGTTGTCAACATTTCGAAATTTATTTGTTCAATATACTTATAAACGCACACAGACAGAGACAAACGATGAGCATATGTTGACTCTATGTGTGTGTGTGCGAG